ATACAGAACAAGTAACATAAAACAAATGCGCGTGGGTGCAAAGATAACCAAGATTAAAAAAAAAAAAATACCAAGAAGATCAGTGTAGCCCTTGTTTTGCCTCATGTTATGACGCTGGTATGAATCCACCTTAGCAATGTTTGATAAGAAGCAAAATATGCCATTTGGTTAAAAGAAAGGTTTTTAGCGATTGGGTGGTAAAGTGATGAAGCATTTGTAGTTGCTGACCAAAGGGAGTGTGTTGCAAACAAATTCTGGATTGTTAAATGTAAAATCCAAATAACCATGGCCAGTATGGTCTAGTCATGTTGTGGTAGTATCAGGGGGAAAATCTCTTCTCTCTGGGTTCTCCACACTTGCCAGGGGGGAAACTCGTCTCGTCTCTCTATCTCGTCCCCTTGAGGTACGGGATCGGGGAAGTCACTTATACTTTACAGTCAAATAAGGCACACACAACGAAATACGTTTCAACTCTCGTCTTAGTCGATCTTTTGGAGCACTCTATAAGACACAGCGCCCTGGGGAAAAGTCCCCAAGACTCTCACAAGGCTGAACCAAGACTCGCCCAAGACTGGACTGCCTCAAGGCTCGCCCCTGGACTGGACTCTCGACTCTCCAGGACTGCACTCTCTCTTCTGCGTCTATCGTGCTGTGCTCCCCAAGACCAACTCAAAACTCTCTTTATTCATTTTCAAAACTCTAACCAATTACAAAACAGTAAAAGACTCTAGGGCGTAACCTTCAATCATAAAGCCAATCACACTAAGTACTGAATACGTCATATCTTTTGATTAATCGTTCACTACATTAATAACTATGGATACCAACTGTCAGAATCGCGACGGTTATCTGGTAATTAGTTCCAAATCACTGAGCCAAGTTCCGTCCAAAACTTCAAATAGGCCTGAACGATGACAGACATAACACAGCAATTCGGCTAATAATCAACTAATTAAGTCGGTCAACAGATACGCGTAAACAAATTCATGACAGTAGATAAATCGTTACTCTTTTAGTCCTTGCAAAGTGTGTCTCTTTTTTGCTTGCACAGTGATTCGCTGTGCGTATTGAAACGATTCCTGGCCGTTACAAATGTACCCGAGACTTGCAGGGATCAATGGAACACGATCCTTAATGGTAATGACGTAAATGGCGGAGCAGACCAGAACCATTACTATTACTCGCATTGTTCGCAGCAGCCAATTTGTGACCAGTGTTAGATTTCAATTGGTTTAGTGAAAAAATTAAAGAAGACCTTTTTAACATCGCAAAAGGAATTACCCCATAATCGATTGTGTGATTCAACCAGACGAGTGACAGTGTCATGGTAGGTAGCTCTGTAAAAAATGTTAATTATACTGTGTTAACTTAATAAAAATGCCATGAAGAATTTGTAGTCTGCCATTGCGTTTCTGGATTTGAATACAACAGCTAGTGTCCTGGCAAGAATGTCTCCAATGTCAAGTCGCGAGTTGGCGGTCCTTTGTTTTTGCTAGACACAAAACATACAATAAAATGTGATGCTGCCAGCAGTATAAAAATGCAGAATGAACAAAATAAAACCGACCAGCGGGAAAATGGTAAAATACTACAAGATATAAAAAAGACAGTCGTTTCGAGTTCAACTCTATGTCAGTGTGTCAGTTAGTTTTTGCTGATGCCGTATAAAGTTAACAAAACGCCACTCTCCAGCATTGTAATGAGCTTGTTCATCGTGGAAAACTCTGTTAACACCAGCCAGAGATGCGAGTGGGTGTAGCTCATTTTCGAGTAATTTTGCACAAATCGCCAAGGTTAATACCGGCAATGACGCGGTTGTTGCTAGCTGCTGCGTCGACCGGAGATGCAGAGTGTTGAAATTCCCGTAGCCAGGATTTTACTAGAAGGGGGGGGGGGTCTGTTTACTCTCTGAGGGGCCAACAAATGCTGAACTGTAAACTGAAGGGTTCATCTTTCTTTATATGACGAGGTGGGCAATTTTTCTAGGACTTCAAGTCCCGCTTGTGATACAAATTAGTCCGCAAATGACGTGCAGAGACTATTATTCATTTTGAAATGATTACACAATTACAATATTAAAATGTTAAGAATACCATTTACGTTACAATATATATATATATATATATATATATATATATATATATATATATATATATATATATATATATATATCATATATACGCATTCCATTTATACACTTAAAGATGAAGGAGTTCTTGATAGAATGAAGCAATCGATGTAAAGGTATATTGATAATGGTGCATAGTAGTTGTCTTTCATATAATGTATTACTTAGCTGGTTTGAAAAAGTAGTCAGCAAAACTGATGTAGGCATAGTTATGGATGTTATACATATAGATTTGAACATAGCAATGTTGCTTGGTGCGTTGAAAGATGCACAACATTTTGTCCATCTCTTTTCAAGCTTAGCAAAAAGTAATCAAGCAACATTGTCTGAACCTTCAAGGCTATTAAAGCGACACATAACAAGAGTGCACCCTCCTTAAGACGTGGTGTAGTTTGATGCAAGCCCGTAAAATGAAAACTGAAATCCGGTCCGGCTGTATACCGTTGATGTTTATATACTTGACAGACGAAGCAAAACAACATTCCGGACCCAAAACGACGGCTACCCGACAACCGGCACTTATCCATCGATCACACTTTTCAGACTGCGTTTTTAGTTCAGGGAATCAGATATAATATAATCTCTGTGCTGAAAGCGAGAATCGATCTTACATTCGCCATAAGTGCATCGCTTAACTCTCATTGTAGTTGCCAGTGACATATGTTGTTTCCCGAAGATGTTTACAGCACGTAGGACACTGTCCTGCAGCCATATTGAAAACTTGACCTGCGTCACGTGACTCAACTAGTTGCTATAATGCGTGAATCGTGCTCACGCGTGACCTAGCAGCTTACGGAATGATGTAATTCTGTGTGAATATATGACCAACAGAAGCTTGCAACCAGTGTTATACAAATCCAAATGTGCACCACATATTAAAACATTGCCGGGGGAGTGAAAACATTTGAATCCTAGGTTCATTTTAGGACAATCACATTTGAAGCTGCTATTTTAACAACTTTTTTTAAAAAATAATTACTGTGTCACATCTATTAGGAATATTATTCGGCACGTACTAGTTATCTTGAACTCACGTAAAAAGTATAAAGTACGGCTGAGTGTGACGTGGTTTATGTCGCATTTGTTAAGGTGAAGGATTATGTTGGAATTTCTATCACAATTCACACTTTGGGTGGAACTGTCATCAATAAATTAAATCATAAATTATTGCTAATATTTAAGAAAGAACAACAGCAATGAAGCAAGCTAAATCATAAAACATATTTTGTAAACACAGTTCATTAAATCCTCCCAGGTAACGGCATTTGCCAGAATATAACACGTTAAAATATCAAAGTAATCCAGTAACTAATTAATTGAATGCT